GAAGACACCTGGCTGACCAAAGCTCGCCTGGCTGCAGGTGAGTCACAACAACATGAAGCGTGACCTCCATCTTATGTTAAATTGTATTTTAATCGTCTTCTACACAGAAACAAATTCTGTAGCTCCATCAATAAATAAATAAATAATTGAGGGAGAAGCCGCTTTGAGTGACAGGTGGGTGCAGTCACAGTTAGCTAGCTGCTAGTTGTCAGTGTTTGTGGTTGTTGGTTCTCCATGTAAATATCAGACGGATCATGTGACTTGTTTTTAACGGACTAACAGAACATGAGGAAGTCCAAGCTCCTGTTTTTAATCAACAGGTGTCAGTGTCTGCACTGACCTTACCTGGCTGTTAGCTTAGCTCGTCAGTCTTGTGCATGAATGTGTTCAATGAGCAGCATTCATTGAACACGTTCATATTTTCAGTGAATTCTGTACTGAACAAATCAGTTTACAAATGATGAATTTGAATGTGAACGCCGCTCACGTTTTACGACAGTTTCACAACACGCCGCATGGCGTCTCCATAGACACGGCCCAGCTTGGCTGCTGCTAGCGGTACAGGCGGTACAGACGCATCTGCTACTGCTGAAGCCGGTTTGTTTGAGCATCTGAAGCAGTTTATGAACAAACAAGTGAAGACTCAGACGGATTATATTTGTATACGAATTTAAATGTAACTAATGTCTGTGATTCTTCAGTGGTGTTCAATACTTCAGTTAGTTTGGGAGCGGCAATGATTTGGGGCTTCCAAATTCACACTAAAAATCAAACACATCTGAAATCTAATTTGAACAACTCTCACTCTGCTCATCTGTTTTCATTGCTGTTGTTGGTGGTTACACCTTAGCTCCAAGCTCTACAAACCTCCATCAGGTGTCTAACCTGTTCAGTTACATAGTACACCCTCCTCTGTCAGCCAATCGTAATCCAGAGTTTACAGGTGCCATGGTGTAAATATACACCATGGCACCATGGGGGAGGGGGGGGGGCAACGGGTGAAACACATCAGGGCGGGGCACATGATCACAGGAGCAGGGAAAACAAAGACAGGAAGTAAAATAACCAACAGATTCATAAGGAAGAAATTTCAAAATAAAACAGGAAATATGGTTGTGACAAAATTGGGAATTAGTGTTGTTGAAATTTACATTCACTATATATACACACACACACACACATATATATATATATGTGTGTGTGTGTGTGTGTGTGTGTGTGTGTGTGTCTGTGTGTGTGTGTGTGTGTGTGTGTGTGTGTGTGTGTGTGTGTATGTGTGTGTCTGTTGTGTGTGTGTCTGTGTGTGTGTGTGTGTGTGTGTGTGTGTGTGTGTGTGTGTATATGTCTGAACGCTCTCTTTGTTCGTAGGTTTTCTTCTGTTTGTGGTTGGAATGATCATCAACATCCACAGCGATCACATCCTGCGCAACCTGAGAAAACCTGGAGAGATCACCTACAGGATCCCCCGAGGTACGACACACCCTGACCCACATCAGACCCTGATCCACATCAGACCCTGATCCACATCAGACCCTGACCCACATCAGATCCTGATCCACATCAGACCCTGACCCACATCAGACCCTGACCCACATCAGATCCTGATCCACATCAGATCCTGATCCACATCAGACCCTGATCCACATCACATCCTGATCCACATCAGACCCTGATCCACATCAGACCCTGACCCACATCAGATCCTGATCCACATCAGACCCTGATCCACATCAGACCCTGATCCACATCAGACCCTGACCCACATCAGATCAGCTGATAGAACCTTTGTCACTAGGTCATCATGTGTGTCTCAGCTGCTGCGCGGTCTGTGCTGAACTCTGTCCCTCATCCCTGGACCTGTGTCTCTCTCAGGGGGGGTGTTTGAGTTCGTGTCCGGTGCTAACTTCTTCGGGGAGATCGTGGAGTGGTGTGGTTACGCCGTGGCCACGTGGTCGTTACCAACCTTCGCCTTCGCTTTCTTCACAGTCTGCTCCGTGGGGCCCAGAGCGCTCGAGCACCACAGGTATCTTCATTCTCTGTCACCTGAACAGCAGCTGCTTTCTTGATCCTTGTCTGTCCAGACGTCTGAGAACTCACTGAAAAGGGGTTTGTACGGTGGCCCTGAGAGGAGAAAACACATGAGCCGCAGATACTCACAACACAACAGGAAGTGTTTCCAGGGGGACACTGAAAAGTGAAGCACCTGGCTCAGACTTGTTGTTTAAAGCTTTGTGACTTTTGAAGTTAAATCCCTTGAATAATAAGAGTGTCCAGCAGGTTCGTCTCTTTTTATTCCTCCGCCCGGCAACAGTCAGAGCGGCGGCCATTTTGTTTTCAGGTCACCCATCCGTCTCCTTGGACACGATATCTCAGTAACACCTGCAGGGAACGTCTTCAAATTTGGCACAAACGTTCACCAGGACTTACGGATGAACTGATTAGATTTTGGTGATCAGAGGTCGAAGGTCAAGGTCACGGTGACCTCACAAATCACTTTATAGCCATTATTCAAGACTTTACACACATGGTTCATATTTTATGGATAAACAGGTTGTAGGAGCCATTTCTATGTGAATATATGTAGACACCAAATTTGGCCAGTAGGTGTCCTCATTGTATTGTGTGTGTGTGAATTTCTATATGGGTGGGAACCTCCTGGCAGGTGTCAGGTGTTGCTAGGCGGAAGGAGCACACAGTTTTTCGACCGCTGCTGTCACGTTGGTTTGTTGTTTGGTGAACAAAGCTGTATGGACTTTATCTGCACTGAGTAATGGATTCTTGCATGGTTTAAAGATCCAGACGGTGAGAAATAAAGAAAGCATCAAATAAAGAAGCGAATCTGGAAGCTGTTTGTTTCATTGGACACAAGTTATAGTCATGCAGCAGCAGCAGGCGCGTCGATTAGTTTTAGCCCGTCTATGCAGCCCCTCACTGGCTTTAAGTTCAGGCTTAGCCGCTACACAGGTTGTGACCTGGAACTAGTCTGAGTGGCGGAGGGATACGACATGGAGGAGGAGATTCTAGTTTCTTTTTAAGAAACTTTTCCCCTTAATTCTGGCAGAGAGAGATGACGTCGTGTCCGCTGGAAACGCTCACGTTGTGTTGTCAGTATTTGCAGCACGTGTTGTCACATGTTCTATATATGTTCTATATATATTCTATTTATGTTCTATTTATGTTGTAAACAGTTCCTCCTGTCTGTGTTGCAGAGACTACCAGAAGAGGTTTGAGGATTACCCTCGCTCCAGGAGAGCTCTCATTCCTTTCTTACTGTGAGGACATCATCTCAGCTCTTTAGTTTCTGTCCCTCTCTGTCTCTGTCTGTCTCTCTGACGGACGCCTCCTTCATCACATGACATCAGTACTACCAGTTGTGTGTTGATGCGTTGAGTGTTATAATGTGTTGTAAACATCAGGAGACAAACGCAGCGACAATCTGGTCACTTGACTTCGATGATGATGATGATGACGACGATGATGATGATGATGACGACGATGATGATGATGATGACGACGATGATGATGATGATGACGACGATGATGATGATGATGACGACGATGATGATGATGATGACGACGATGATGATGATGATGACGACGATGATGATGATGATTCACACCCACAGTTATAAAGTGCCTTATAAAACTCAAGCAGAAACACTTCCTCCTCAGTGGGAACTACCCCTCCCTCTGGGAATGAAGTGTATATTAGTGTGTGACTCTGAGCTGAGCACGCGCTCTGTTTGTTTGTGATGTCATGATATCAGTAAATTCTTATTGTTGTGATACAAATAAAATGTATATTTCACTGAATATTATTCACTGCAATAATAAGATCAACACATGAAACCTTTTAGTTGCTGATTAAATTCTATATTTGAAATAATAATGACTGATGTTTTGGTAACATAATGAATTTATTTCTAAACTTATTTCTAAACAAAGAAGAAGATCAGAAATAATTGGTGAGCCGTGACTCTCTGAACTGTTGATTCATGTTGAGGTAATAAAGTGAAGGAGGTTCTCTTCATAACTTTGTATATATCCAGTAAAACAAGAAAGATAAAGGATTGATATTGAATATTATTTTGATTTCTTCGGATTAGAAAAATAAACTATTTCGGAATATATTGTGGAATATTTTTAACGATCAGCTACAAGATACAAACATTTCAGTTGTTTTGAAAGGTGATGAACAAGAAGGATTTTTTTGTGCATTTGATTTTATTCATGGAAAAATTCCACCTTCACAAAAAGATCGACTTCAATATGGCTCCATGATGAGAGATTTTCAAAATAAGACTGCTGTGGAAAACACAGTCATTTGTTTGATTGGAGATCTTATAGTTTGATTTATGTTTCTGTTTTCTGTTCTTTTATCTGTGTCCATTGTAAAACTCTGGCTGGAATGAACCGTTTTGTTTCGTGAACATAAAGGAACAAAACGTTTTAATCGGCTTTTATTTTGAAGTGTCTACACGAACCGGAAGCATACGTGACGTTGGGACCGTAATGTTAAAGCAGAATCTACTTACGCCGGGTTTCTCGCGTAAACATCCACAACAAACATGGCGGACGGTGAGTTCATTGTTGACCATTGATCGCGTTTTTGAACAGTTTTATCGTGTTTCTGTTTTCTTTGCCGCGTGTTTCCGCTTTGATTCAACGACTCGTCGACTCGGTTCAAACCACCGGAGTCGATTTTACCGGTTAGTGAGGTTTATTTACCGGTCAAAGGCCGTTAATGTGATGCTAAGCTAATTTACCGCCGTTTACAAAGCAGCGCAGAGCGACCGACACCAGATTACAGATTTTAATAAAGACATAAGAATGTGGAAACAGTTATTGATGGTTTCCATCGGAGCAGAGCAGTAAACGGAAGACAGGGTTTCTTTTATCAAGGTTCTTTTAGAAACCGAGACACAAACTGGGAGAAATAAACTCGTTCCTTGTTTTCAGCCGCTTTATTTAACGGTTTTCTTTTTAAATGAGAAAGTAGCTCTGATGTTTTTCTACGGCGACTTTTATTCCTCAAACTGACTCCGGATACGCTCCGCTAATAGATTCCGCTCGAACTAGAGTCTGTTCAAAAATGAGCAAATTTAGAGATTCATCCCTTATCGATGCTGAGTGATAGGAGCTAAAGGTCAGGTACTGATCGATAGGCTCTGTTGGTCAATACGGCGTGACGTGGGTCAAACACAGCAATGTTTATTTAATGTTAAACTCTAGAAATATAACGTGGAGTCTCTTTGTACCAAACTCTGTTCAACCAATTAGCAAACAACAACAACAAACGATTAGCCGACCAATCATCGGAGTAATACTTTATCAATGATCAATATTTGATGAATCATTGTTTCTCTGTAAATATTGAATGTAATTCACGCTTTTTTTTCACAACATAATCCAATTAAATGAGAAATGAAAACCAGGAATGAAGTGAGAGGACTTCTCCTGCTCCAGCTGTTAGAAGACTGAACAATAAGGTTTTGTCTTTTTGTTGAGACTGAACATGAAGCTCTTTCTTCACATCAGTGAAAACAGCTGAAACCTTTATCCACAACCATCGAATGATCAAATCTATTGTTCGTCACGTCCGTCACGTTGGAGATTTTCTGTATTCCTCTGCACCAACCCGTGGTCAGAAGTTTGTATTTCTGTTGACAAAATGGCCTCAACACAAAGTCCATTTAGTGGCTGTTGTGGAACTTTCAACCGTATCACATGATCCAATGAGTGTGAACTAGAAGAAGTTAAGAGCTCCTCATCCACGTGGGGTCAAAGGTCGAGCTGTGGGGCAGAGATCACCTGAAACAGTTCAATGACCTCAGACTGAGGAAACTAAAAACCAGCTCTTCTCTTTCAGATCACACAGACGCAGATCAGTCGATGGAGGGACACACTCCTGTGAGTAACACACACAGAGACACACACAGGGACACACACAGGGACACACACACAGTGACACAGACACACACACACAGTGACACAGAGACACACACACAGTGACACAGTCACACACACAGACACACACAGTGACACAGACACACACAGTGACACACACACACAGTGACACAGAGACACACACAGACACACACACAGTGACACAGAGACACACACAGACACACACACAGTGACACAGAGACACACACACAGTGACACAGAGACACACACAGTCACACACACAGTGACACACAGACACACACAGACACACACACAGTGACACAGAGACACACACAGTCACACACACAGTGACACAGTCCAGTCATTAAAGGAACAATCCGACCTTTAGTGAACCCTGCCAGAGTCAGACGGTTCACTGTCCTCTGTATCCAGGTTTAGCTTCGCACAAAGACTGAATGCGGAGGGAAACTGTTAGCCTAGCTTGATCAGTATTGATCATTTAGTTAATGATCAGTTTTGTATTGATTCTTGTGATCCAGTGTGTTTCTATAAAACCAGTGAACATGAATCCTCCTGCAGGTGTCTGAAAACCCTCACGCAGAGTACGGCCTGACAGACAACATCCAGGTAGCACACACACACACACACACACACACACACACACACACACACACACACACTGTGTAATGACAGGTTTAGGGCAGACTCCCAGCATGCTTTGCTTGCTCCTCAGAGGACGGGGGAGAACGAGAAGGCGAGTGCAGAGAAGCTGTCTAAGCAGAAGGTGGACCTGCAGGCCCTGCCCACCAGAGCGTACCTGGACCAGACCGTGGTCCCCATCCTGCTGCAGGGCCTGTCAGTGCTCGCCAAAGAGAGGTCAGAGTGTGTGTGTGTGTGTGTCTGAGCTACTTTTACTTTCTTTACTTTCAATGTTTCTTCCTTGAGGTCAAGGAAAGATGTGAAGGAGAATTGATGCGACTGCACTGACACTAAACTTTTGTTTTCTAACTGACTTTATTTAAACACCTGGAGGATGAATCCTCCTTTAACCACAGAAACAAACAGGATGAAATGTTGAAAGTAGAAAATACAAACAGAGAAAGTTGAGCCATTTAAATAATAATTAGATAATAATAAACTGAGCAACAGATCAGAATAAATTATATTTAGTTTTCTAACATTTTTAAACATTTGATAAATAGAGAAAATTAATGTTTGTCTTTCCACAATGGGAGGATTCAGTGCAACATGAATGTATAGACTAAAGTATTTAGTTGTGGTGATGATGATGATGATGATGATGATGATGATGATGATGATGTAACTATAGATTCATCAGCTCGTTCTTCATGGCGACTCCTGACTGATGAAAGAGAATGAATCTATATTTATGGATCTGAGCTTCAGTCCATCAGACAGAAACAGCTGCTCTGATGTTTCTACATTTATGTGGTTTTAAATGCTGCTGCAGCAAGGCATTGTGGGACGGCATGTGTCCTTTCCTTTGGTGAAGGAAGCTCCAGTGTTTCCTAAAGGAGATGAGAGAGGAAGCAGTGAAGCTCCTCTCCTCATGAAGCTGCTCAGAGACTGAAGATCATTTCTCTGTCTGAAGCTTCAGGAGAACGAAACCCTTTTTAACCACAGGCCCGCCCAGGTGCATGCTGGTCCTGGACCATTCCACCTACAGAGATAACCCCCAGGTGCCCATAGCATGAGCCAAATAAACAACGTACTAGTTAACAGTAACTAACTAAGCTAGATAAGCAAATGATATAAAGAAACTAACAACTAACAAAAGAGAATATTATTATTATTATTATTATTATTATTATTATTATTATTATTATTATTATCATCATTATTATTACCAAAAACAAATGAATTAAAAAGGTGAATAAATAATAGAAAAACCAACAAACTAGTAAAAAGCTCCTACAAACATTATTCATCATAGTTTACGTTGATGAGATGAACAGTGTCAAACATCTGGCCGCTCCCTTCCCGTCTCTGCTCCAGTGCGTCCTGTTGATCAGCTGATGTTTCTTCTTCTCTCTCAGACCTCCGAACCCCATCGAGTACCTGGCGGCGTTCCTGCTCAAGAACAAATCTCAGTTTGAAGAGAGAAGTTAGAGCGGCGTGTGTTGGACGCTGCAGCTCGTCTCAGCTCCTGTGTTGGTTCATGAACCGTTAGACTGTTTTTTTATTTCATCAGAATAAACATGTTGATGTGAAAGGGCAGCTCTTTGGGATTTTATTCTGAAAGGATGGTCCTTTTCCGACTGTAAAAAAAACAAACAATTGAGCTTGTTCTGTTTCTTTCTTCAGATGGATACACAGCTGGAGTCAGGGTGTGGTTAGCCTGAGGAGGCGGATGGATACAGTGTTGTTAGCCAAGAAATAGTTCCAGCACATAACTTTCCCTGAAACCTGGAACTGTAGCGGTCAGGATGACGACGTTTGATTTTCAGATGTTTGAGTAGAAAAGGTGAAGTTTGAAGAACCAGACAGGAAGTGAAGCTGAAACAAGTTCAATAGAATCATTTTTATTTCTCAGCTCATGACAGAAGTTTGACTTTATTGCACATTAACAACGAAATAAAGCAAAATCTCTTCAACATGTTTCAGTTACAAAATGAAACGGTACACAGAAACACTTTTTACAAAATATATAAAGAGTTAGAAATAAAGCTAATGAAGACACAGGATGGAGGGAAACAAACTGTCTTCACTCATATTTTACTTCATCGTTTAAATTCTAAACAAAATAATTTGTACCTAATAAACTTACAGCTGATATGGAGTGAACTTGGGGCTTTGGGGCTTTTGATGCCCCGGGGCAGTTCAAAGGTTCAGTTCACCCACAGTCACGTGTGTTCAGGAGATCTGCTGCGACATGAACAATGACCCAGACTCACCTGGAAAAACCCAAAACCCACATCCCAGAGGTCAAAGGTCAGCAGACTGAAGGTGTGGCCCGTCGCAAACCTCAAAGGCTGAAGCGAAATGAGACAGAGGATTTACTCTGTGCGTCACCAACCATACGTGTCATTGCGTCTCAAAGTGCGGCTCCTGTTGCCTAGCAACCTTGACAACACGTAACTTTTTTTTTCTCAAAAACGTTTAGCTTGAAGAAGCCTGGCTTCAACAGTTGACCCGTTATCTGTTGAACTGAGATGAAACACAATGCTGACATGTAAAAGTCTCTCTGTCGGTGTTGTTAGCTTTCGTTACCGGCGCGCAATGAATCTTGGGATAGGTCGGCCGGCCTCGTCACGCCGCTGTGACGCAAACGGTCTTCAAATGCCGCCTCTGAAGGACGCGGGACGCGGCCTCTGCGAACGTCGGTTGAACGTTGTCATATTTTAACCAGAAACCTGTTGACAGTGACGTCTGTGAGGTCAAACGGAACACCTTGAGCATTAGCTTGTGATTTCGACCTGAGAGGTCAGACCTTTGACCTTTGACCTAAGGAGAGAGTATGAGGGATGAAAGAAGCGACATAAAAAGGTTTGTGTTCCTTTTTTTTTTTTCTTACATCTGTCTGTAGTGTTTTACAACATTATAAAAGCAACAGAACACGTAGCTAGTGTTAGCGTTAGCTTTTATACGGTCTATGGGTGTTCCACTTAGAGCTCCCCCTAGAGGCCTGGAGCTGCAGCTTGTTTGTTGTTTTTGTTTGTGTTTTTCAGTCTGCGTGCTTTCTCCTGATGGAAAGTGTTTTGGGCCATTGCAGCTCGTTTGTCCTCGTCAGCCACCGTACAAATATCAGTCTCACTGAAGGAGATATCAAAAGCTCCAGAATCTAAACCTAATCTTCCTACCTCAGCGGGGCGTTTTGCTTTGTTTCGTATACTGGAAAATGTATTTGTGTGATTTGGGTGAACTGAGCCTTTAACGAACTTTCTCTAAGACAGTAAAAAAAACAAACACACCAACTCAGATTAAAACTAAAACTGGATTAAATCAAAGTTTATCTGATTAAATTAGAGCAACAACTGAATCTTTAATTAAACCTGGTTCCAGACAAGTTTGATTAAATTAAATCCTAATCTTTATTTAAACCCCCCACCCCCACATACACACTCCCCACCCCCACCCCTCAATAACCTTTTATTTCTTACATAAAAAAGTCCAAATTTACTTGAGAATTGAATGTGTTGAATCTGTGACCTCATGGAAAAATCCACCTTAAAAATCCACTTTAAAACTCTGTAAAACATTCAAATACAGCTGTTTATGTTTGTTGGTTTGTTTCTGCACTCGGAGATGTGAGGGTTCAAGTGTCAGCCAATCACAGTCAGCCGCCACAGCGAGTCATGTGACAGAGACTCTACAAACACGACCAGCTACATGATTTAAGGCGGATCTTTCCTTTGAATGATCGGTCAACAGGTGACACACCTGAGCAGAAACGACCAGGGAACGCCCCCCAAGCTTCCCCTGTCTGTGACATCACTTCCTGTGGTCTGTTTAAAGCAGACTTTCAGAGACAGGTAGAAGAGGGGTGCAGGAAGTTTTTGTCTTTGTGCGTTACATCACCAGACGGCGGCGGTGGCTGCAGGATAACGAGGAGGAGGGCGGGGTGGGCAGGAGGGCGGGGTGGGCAGGGCTTCGTCTCAGATGTAGAACTGGTGAGCTGCCAGGTTGTCCATGAAGGGCTGAACCAGGAAGTCCGTGGAGAAGTAGAAGACGAGGCCGAAGGTGATGGAGATGGGCAGCGCCGGCAGAGCTTTCTTAAAGATGGCCAACAGCAGCAGAGTCAGGCACAGACCCTGAGACAGGCACAGGTGAGGCACAGGTGCACCATGGTCACATGACAGTTACATGACAGCAGTCAGTCACACATTACACTACAGCACCACTCAGACGTTAAAGTTTCAAGTTAAAGTTTAAAGTTACGGTAAAAGTAAAAATTTAAATTTAAAGTTACAGTTTAAAGTTCAAAGTTAAACTTCAATTTAATAGTTAAATTTAAAGTTTAAAGTTAGCCGTGCCGTCTTAAACCAGGACTTACAATCAGAATGGCGACGAAGCAGGCGAGCGTCGTGTTCCAGTCTCCGCCCGTCGCTGCAGCTTTACCAACCAGAACGCTGTAGAAGATGAAATCACCGAGGCCTAGCTTCACCCCCCCTACACACACACACACACACACACACACACACACACACACACACACACACACCTTTAATATCTTAAAGACACACTGTTCTAATGTTGTGTCTTTACACTGGTTAAACTCACTGTCTTCCTCCAGCTCGTCCTCTGCAAACGTCCGGGACTGTCGGCTCTCAGGCTCCGCCCCTCTGACGCTCTGCTCCGCCTCCTCATCTGAAAAACAAAATGGAGGCAGACAGCATGAATACAATGAACTGGTTAAAAGGTAAATGTGGATGTCAGTGTGTGAGGTCAATATACATGAACATAATATTCTAATATTTAAAGAAACTAAAAATGTATTAATTTTCCACTTGTTTCACTAATTAGTTTTAAAAAGTAAAAACAAACAAATGAATGTAAAACAGAAAATGACTGTTAGACGTGATTTTAAAATGTATCTTATAAATTTATGTATTTAATTAATTCAGAGAAAAACATAAAAATGTAAAATGTTTTTTTTACTTTTTTACTGTTTAAATTTTTGATTTTAATGCAAATTTAATAAATAACTGATTTTAATTTCAATGAAGCAGCTGAGTTATCGATAACCACTGAGTAACTAGAGCTCCATCATGTAGATCATGACATGAAAGAGAACAGGAAGTGGACAGAATAACATGAACACGGCGACATAAACAACACGTCATGTGACTGTCATAGAGGTGTTCATCGTATTCTGTCAACCCTCATTTCCCATGATTCCTTGCTTGTGATGGGCGCAGCTTTTGTTTCTTATCTGACCTGTTTCGTGTTCAGAGCGCTGAGCGTCCATCGGGCTCGCCATTCCCACCGTCCACACCATGGCAGCTGAGCGTGCGCGCACACACACACACACAATAAACAAATGTAGACATGTTAGCGTGTCACTTCCTGTCGACTCTTTAATACAAAGATAAAAGGATGAAACTCGTCACAGCGTCAGTTTCACGCTCGTCTCCTTCATGATTATTGATTATTGATATACATTATTTGATGACATCACAGCGTGACGGACTCACAGGAGTAGATGAGGGCGGGGAAGATGGGCTCGTTGCGTTCCTGAGCCGTCTCCACCAACATCCTGAGAGGACCTTTGGGAGACAGGACGGCCACCAGGTCTGCAACAACAAACAACCAGAGCAAGGCATGATGGGAAAGAGTCCCTGTCAACAAACAGACTGACCCGTCATCAGCTGGTGTGTTACCTCGTGCTCAGGTCACCGCGGACTCACCGTAGACGGAGATGGCGCCCAGGATGACCCAGGCCGACCACTCGGGCAGGTACTTGATGAAGACCAGCGCCATGAGGGCGCTGATGAGGATGAGGTAGGCCTGCTGCAGCTGGAGCGGGCCCTTCCAGTGGATACAGATCATCCCCACCGCCCCGAAGTTCCAGATCATCACCCCCACCGTCGGGTAGTCCACGGCCAGGTTGTACGTCTTAAACACCTCCCTGCAAACAGAGGAGCGGTCAACGCGTCTCCCCCAGGTGAGTCCTGCTGGTCACAGTCATGACATCACACAGAGGGGGCGGGACTCACCCGAGGTACATGAAGCTGAACCAGAAGAGCAGCATGAGGGAGGACAGGATGAGCCAGCCGTGGATGAACTGAACGACACAAACACACACACCTGCTCAGGTAACAGCGCCACATGTTCTGTACAGTGAGGGGGGGGCTATACCTCTACCTGAACACCTGAGCTCCTCACCTTGTAGCAGCGATACTTGTAGAGGACGACCAGGAAGATGGTCATGACCACGATGACGCTGATCATGATGATGGTGTTGAGGACGGAGTTGAGGAGCCGGCGGCCGACAGATGGCGTGTTCTCTGTGAACGGCGTGTAGATCCTGCGGGGACAAACATGGCGGTTAGCTGAGGGCGGAGCAGTCGTAGGTGCGGCGGCTGAAGCGTGGACCTACAGCTGCTGGTCGGTCTTCTCCGTGTAGAAGCTGACGGACTTGATGGTGGCGACCACCACCACCATGCAGAGGGTGACGGGGATGAACAGCATGATGACGTGCTTGGCTCCGTACTTCAGAGTCAGCTCCTCCTCGTCTGCATCCACCTCCTGATCTCCGCCTCCACCGCCACCGCCACCATCTGCTGCAGCTGGACCCGCCCTCCTGCTCACCCCAGACTGCACCGACAGAGGGCCACAGTCAGGAAATACATCACACCATCATCACTAAGGACATGAGCTCGTGGGAAACTTGACCTTTACCCTTTTGGTTGGCGAGTCATCAGGGGGGGTCAGGTCAGGATCTGGTCTGTAGGACGGGACTGCCGGATTCTCCGACGGGACCAACGCCGTCCTCTCGTTGTATAAGTCCTCGTCGCTGTCCGAGGCGTTCATGGCACTGACTGCAAACAACCAGCAGAGCAGTTAGTGCCGCCCAGCACCAGGACCAGCACTAGCAACAGGAACAGGAACAGGACCAGGACCAGTACCAGGACCAGGAACAGGAACAGGACCAGGACCAGGACCAACCTCCTAGAGACAGGACCAGAGCTAGCTGCTAGCCATCTGCTCAGTAACACCTCAGCTAACTGACTCAGTAATTAGCAGGTATCAGTCGCTGTGCTCACCATACCTGGCTAGCTTAGCTTGTTAACTAGCTAATTAGCCAGCAAATTGATTAGCCTTGGGTTAGCCTTTGGGCAAGACACTCAGCTGTGCTAATGATGCTAACAGGGGTGTATGCTAGTCACAGTTATCAAACCTACATGCCTCAAAGTCTCAGCTACACCCACGCCCCTCCTCTTTGACCATATTTGGATTAGCTGGGAGTTAGGGGCGGAGTCATCACTGCCAAAATGGCGACAGTGGAGCAGCTCACTCAGAAACCTGTGAGTGACGTCACAGATGCCATCTTTATTTACAGTCTATGGTTGAAAGCAGCTGTAAGTACGTGTGTTTTAAATACTAATGTAAAACTCTGACCTGCTGATGTCACCAGGAACCTCAGGGGCCCCCAGGGGCCTCGTGCCCGAGTTCAGCCCCCAAATCTCTAAATCTGCCCCTGCTCGAGAAAACCATCCAGAAACCTAGTTCTGAGTCCACTGAGAGTAAACCGAACTTCTTCATGGGTCATTAACTATTGATCAGTAAGTATGGATCATTAACTGTGACCGAACCGTCGTCATCAGTAGAGTCTCAGTACAGCTGACTGTTTGTTTACGTGACTGACGCCTCGTTCGCACTTTGTTTCGTTATGTCTCGTTTGAAATTCTTCGGCTCTGCTCGTGAGCGAAGAGACCGGAAGTGAAGCGGCGGGTTTTTAAGTTCAAAAGAAAGATGTTTTACCTCGAGTTGAACCGAAGAAAAGTGAACACAGCCGATCTGACGACCCGGAACACGGCAGGCAGTCAGCTGACCGGCGCACCACGTGATCACCGATGTCGTCACGACGTCACGTGGTGTGTCTGCCTCGGTTAATTTTTATAATGTTAAATAATGAAAATATCATCGATACTGACATGAGATGTGACGCAGTATCAGGGCCACGTCGAGGGGAAAAAAGAATCCGAAATTAGGAGAATAAAATCATGATATTTCAAGAAAAGAAATCCTAATACCATGAGAATAACGTCGTAATTTTACGATTAAAAAGTGTTTTTTTAATTGACACACGAAGAATTTTCAGTAATATTTGAAAGTAAATAGAAAATAAAAAATGAAATATTCTGAAATGTGACAGTAAAACTTTACCAAACCATCAATAAAACCTCTGATATTCAGCTTTAATTGAATCATTTCCTTGTTTAATTAATTTGTTTAATTTATTATTTCTTCTGTAAATCTGATGTGACGTCTGAATCCTTCCTGTATATTTTCATTTAATGATATTATCCACATAAAAACAATCAAACGTAAAGATATGTGGTGTAAACATGAGGGAACACACTGCACATGCTCCAGTGATTGATCTGATCAGAATGATGAGATGAAAAACAGCTGACCAAAAGGAGGATTCAAGGATCAAAAAGATAAAAGTGTAACACAACTTAAAATTGTGTTTTTTTTCTGAACATTAGAATATGTTGCTTTTCATTTAAATATTTTCAGAGCAAAAAAATAAAGAATATAAATTATCATAGACTTCAGAGGTCACAGGTCACAGCTGACACCTCCTCACCTGCCTCACAACACCTAACGAGCCAATTAAGGCCTGCTGAGTCGATGAAGGTGTGAGAGGCCACATACTTGTCATTCTCAGTCATTTCGTTGCCTCATGAAGGATCAGATGGAAAAATCCTCCCCTCCCAGTTTGGAGCGTTTAAACCAACAGCTACTGGAAAGTGGAGTGCTTCTGTAGCTATATGCTAATGTATGCTAATAACTAGCTGGTTCCCCTCCTGCTGGCTTTGAAGTTCAGTGTAGGAATACAAACTTCTTGCATCAGGATAACTGAGCTGCAGGCAGCTGTGAGGCTTCAGCCCTGCGGTCTAATGAGCAGCAGTGAGCTGATATAAATAACACACTGATGTTTAATTCACCAGTTCCACCATGAGATAATTGTTCCTCTGCTTGAATCAATTACGTGTGCTTTTGCTTTCTGCCGTTCAAATGTGATAAAGAGTTCATTCTTAATGAACTTGTTTGGTGTCACAGTGATGCTCAAACATTTGTCTCAATTAAACAGAAGCATTTCTCTGTTTTAATCATGTTTTGTTGTTTACTGCAACAACCAGGCTGAGAGAAGAAGGTTCATCCAGAGCCTGAACATGGAGACTCTTATTGTGAAAAACCTGCTCACCTGACACAAAGCACATTATCCTGAAAACTCCACCAATCACAGGCACCTGGGAACCTGTTGCACAAAACACCTTAAGTTTAGATTTTTAAGTTAAGTATTTAAGGTTTTCTCCTGATCTCAGTCTGATACTGAAGGAATCACTTAAAGTCAGTTAAACTATAAAAGGCCTTAGAGACCAAAGTTCAGCTAGTGAAGATCCTGTCAAAAACCCCAGGAGGATGAGAGAGCAGCGCGCTTCTTTAATGTTCCCCTCCTTCCAATAGCAATAACAGGTCACCCTATCACGAACGCTAATGGCAGCAAATCAACAGTCTCCATGGAAACAGTAGAATTTTACCGCTGTAAAATCTTTCAATGCTGTGAGTTAAAATAAGAACTTCCTTCATATTAGACAGTCTCTGTTGTCTTGGTTACAATAACAACAACAAATGGTCACGGATAATAGAAACAACAAGGGAATCGAACACACGGCTCTAATGTGTTACATTCATCCATCCACCACCTCCTCCTCCTGACATGGACTTTGTCTCTTTAAACTACGTCACCGACACTTTGCCTTTGCTCCTGTCATCATTACAACGACCACTAGATGTTGCCCAGCAACGAAACCTAATGATGATGTCATAATCACCTGCTGACAGACGACCTGTGGGCTCGCTGTTACAGGAGGACGGACTCCAACAAGGCTAACGTGTGTGTGTATTTCTTTTGGTAGCTCAGATCCGAAGCCAGGTTTCTCTTCATGCCACTGCTGCAGGAAAACAGGCAAGTCTCTGAAACAGCTGCAGCTGGAAGGAACATCTGATGTGTCCTTGAACGCATCACTGAGGAGTACCAAGCAGCAGCAGTAATTGGGCTAATTTGATTCATTCTTCTGTATTGCCAGAGCATCTCCTCATAACTTTTTAATGTGCTCTTCCCATGAAAAGTTTAGCCTACATAAAAGTTGGGTCATTAAGAGCAGAGCACTTCACTGCTGCTGTAAAGAAACAGCCACAGTCTGTCGTAGAGAGGGATCAGACATACAGCAGGTAACACTCAGCAGGGAGAAGTGGGCGTCACTCTCTGGCTACAGGTGATGTTTCAGCCTCAGGTCTTCTTCAACATCTGTATATTTTTGTTCTAACATACAGAGTAAAGTTTAATATTTGCATGTTGTAAAAGAAGAAGAACAACAGACACATCCTGCTACGTCTACTCAATGTCTAAATACAGAATATCTTCATCAGATCTCCCTCCTCCTACACGTCACTGAGCAGTGTTCAGCTTAGTGTTATGTTTTCATATTAAGTTGGAGGACTATCATCATCGCCAAAACAAACTCATGACAAAGTTTCCTTCAAACATCATTTCATCAGTTTCTGTTGTTGCTTTTATTCTGTAAAACAATCACACAACCGTTAGCCCATGCTAGCATAGCTTTTAAATGCTCCACAACAATGCTGAGAGTTAGCCAGCTAGCGATAGCAATATTTGCCACATTCATAATATCACTAACAGCAGGTTAGCTAACGTTAGCATGTCTACTGTAGCCGTCACTAATGAAAACAGACTGTAACATTATGAACGATCAAGTTACTGACACATGAAGAAGAAGAACCAGTTCTGAGTCCAGCTGGACTTTAGCAGCTCGTTCTCCTCCCAGTAAACCAGACCAGCTCCACGGTCGGACTGGGAAAGAAATTCAGTCTTGGACTGATACACTGGGACCAGCCGCACTGATGACACTGATGGAGCCTGTAAAGACTTTAAAACCTTTACAGATGTTTTGACGGTCCACCTGCCGACCAGGATCTGAGCCGTAGACCTCAGTCCAGTCCACCTGTGATCTGGTCTCATCTCTTTCTGTGTCTGAGGCCTTTTTAAATGAAACTGTGACATCACACCGGTGGGCGGAGCCTGTGTGTCTATAAACATGGGGAGGACCAACAGTTTAACAGGCCGGATTCACATGCACTAACATTCACACGCTACCAGAACAAAGACCAGAGGAACACAGATGACATCACACACAGAGGGGGCGTGGCTTCGTTCTCACTCCTCTTTATCTTTACATAGGAAACATTTTGCTGCTGTGTGACTTTAAAATTTCATTTACAGAAACTTTAAGAGGGACCTGTAACAGAATTGAAATATAGAAATGATCCTTATGTGGTTTTCAAATTCTGATTTGGTTTCTGTGAATGTTTCAGTTTTGTTTCTTCACAGTTTGTTGTTCTACATTACAGACGAGCTACAAACACCTGCCTGTTTCTGTCTCTGGCTGTCTCCATCAGTCATGTGACTCCCACCCTGCAGGTCGCAGCCGTCCATCGAGAGTCGCCCACTCCCACAAGAGAAAGAGGTAAACATAAGAACAAAACACAGTTCCAGGTGTTTCCTGCTGAAAAAGGTACAATACACTCCCATCATGCGTCTCTTCTGCTCTGTGTGTGTGTGTGTGTGTGTGTGTGTGGATTCAGAAACAAGGTCATGCTGCTGAGGCTGGATGGAAGGAGCGGAGAGGGGAGGAGAGAGACGGAGGGATGGATGTAGTTTATGAAAGCAGTGCCTGCAGCGAGCGGAGCGAGGAAGACTCAGATCAGACGAGTTTCTGAGGCTGATGATGTTTCAGCTTCCTGTTCGCCGCCTAGGAGAGAAGGACGGCAGAGAGCGGTGATCACACAGTGGACTGATTCTGAAATCAACCACAGAGACTGAGTCTTCTCTTTGATTCATCAGCTCCATCAGGATCATCAGGGTTTTTTAAAGGCAGCGTCGTCAATATCGATCAGGAGACAAGAAGCTTGTTTTAATAAAACTTTATAAGACAAACTTTCCTTGCCCACCAGCTCCAGGAGGATCCATGGAGAGAACCAGCATCTCTGAGAGGAAGGCTGAAGCTCGTGTTGGAGATCACAGGCGTCCATTTTCAACATCCTCATCCTCCAGATCAAGATCCTCCATCCTGGATTTCCCCCAGAGGGGGATCTGCTGAATGAGGATTTCCCGAGCTGCAGAGGATGTGATGATTGATGAAGTTGTATCACACAGACTCGTGGGAGTATGAATGGAGAGCATTAGGATATGTAGCATGATTTATTTAGTTTTACCTGAGCTCTGGACAAATTACCTCCTAATTGTGAGTTTAATGGTTGCCAGATTGGGATCCTTGGACCAAAGAAAAGCAGGTGGATATGAGTCTGTTACATCCTTCTTAAATTTACTGAAGCCTGAAATTGGTTTTGCCTGTTTGCCACCTGTTTGTGTCGCTGTGATTACGATCAGGGCTGGGACGAGAAACATGCACCGACCACAGCTGAGACACCTGTCAATCAGTCTGTGATTCCCAGCTACATACAGTCTCTCAGGAGGCATGCTGAAAGCATGTCGAACAGCTCAACTCATTTGTTTATATGTCTGACAGAGGTAAATAACACAGAGAAACTGTGACCTGAACTATTTCGACCGTCACTCTTTTATGAAAAAACATATCGAATTTTCTTGTTGCAACATCTAGTGGCCATTAGATGAACTGCAGGTTAACAGACTGAGGCGCTTGTCCGTCTTCTCTCCTTGGTCGCTTGGTCTATTCGACCTGTGCTTCCAGACCAGTGATGGTTCCCCCACAGCCGGCCGCTCACAGGCCCCATGTCTGCCTGACGGCAGTCCTCATCATGACCAGTCTGGCGCTGATGGACACTTACCTGGTGGAGCAGAACCCAGGTCCCAGGAGGATCGTCGTGTGCGTCACTGTGCTGGCGGGTGATGCGTGTTTCCTCATTGTGCTTCGATACGTCGCCGTCTGGGCGGGGTCGGAGGTACATACGGCCAGGAGAGGCTACGCCATGATCCTCTGGTTCTTCTACATCTTCATCCTGGAGATCAAGGTCTACTTTGTCTATCAGTACTACAAGTCTCAGGACGTAAGTGTGGATGTAGAAGTGACGGACCCGGGTTTGTCCAGGAGAGCGCTCACGCTGCTGCTGTCCGTCTGCATGCCCATCGTGTTCATAACGCTGGCAGCCATCGATCATCTGGAATACTTACGGCTGTACAAGAAGAGAGAGGAGATAAGGAGTCGTCTGTTCTGGGTGGTGCTGGACCTGCTGGATGTTGTAGACATCCAGGCCAACCTGTGGGAGCTTCAGAGGGAGGGGCTGCCCCTGTGGGTGGAGGGACTGATGTTCTTCTACTGCTACATCCTCCTCCTGGTGCTGCCCTGCGTCTCCCTGAGCGAGATCAGCATGCAGGGTGTGAACATCGTCCCCCACAAGATGATGCTCTACCCCATCCTCAGTCTCGCCACCATCAACATCATCACCCTCTTCATTCGGGGGGGGAACCTGCTGATTTACGGCGACATCCGAGTGTCGACGATCATGATGGGGAAGAACGTGATCGCCATCGTTGTGAAGAGCTGCAGTCTGGTGGAGTACCGGAAACACCGAGCGGCCTCTCCTCCTGCAGAGAGAGGAGCCAAGCTGCAGAGGAACATTCAGGTCTGTAACACCCTGCACCCCATGGTGCTGCCCAGGGTCGTGATCGAGGACCTGACCACCATCCCAGAGGAGGACGGGACCGATGACGGGACCGATGACGGGACCGATGACGGGACCGAACAAACCTGAGACAAAGGCAGGAAAAACCAAACACCCCTCCCATAAATACATAGACAACCGAGGTCGAGTCAGGACGAAGACGAAGACGAAGATGAAGACGAAGATGAAGACACGTCTGATATTTCTATGTGTTAGTGAAGTCCTGGTTTAACTGAGTCAACAGTACAAAACTATAATCACCTCCAACACAAAACATTCACTAGGACTCAAGGATGAACTGATTAGACTTTGGTGGCAAAGGGTCAAGGAATCATTACATTTTTCTACAGAATGAAAACAACTGTGTGTTTCAGCTGCTGTTTTTATAAATAAAGATTTGTAGCTGGAATCAGGGGACGTTGTGATCTCAGTACACAGTGTGTGTCTTTACCTCCAGGACTCCAGATGTGGTTTAAACATCAGGGGACATTTAACTGCACAGCTGGAAACACGCCTGCAGTTCAGCAGGATGACCACAAGATGGCAGCAAATGTTTGGATGTTGCCTGACAAGAGGGAGAGAGCAAGAGAAATAGAGAGAGAGAGAGGGAGAGAGAGAGAGAGAGAGAGAGAGAGAGAGGGAGGACAGTTACTAGTGAAATAAATCTGAGTGTTTGATTCTCCAGATCTGTCAATAATTACTTCCAGTCATGTTACCCAGACTCAGACTTATTGATTGACTACACATACAGAAATATAATATATGAAATATATATCAAGAGTGATGTTTCCATTTATGTCACGTATTATTATCATATATTTACATCCTCTGGATATATAAATATAGAAGTCTAAATACCCATAGTACAATTTGTATATGTACAAATATTAAAAATATGTGTATGATGAATTTGATTTTGGTTTAAAATGTTTATGTTAATTATATATATGAAAGTTTATGAAAACAACATACATATAACAATTTTATAGATAATATAAGATTAGAAGAACCTTTATTGATCCCCTGCAGAGGAAATTCAAACGGACACAAGGGGAAATGTAATAAGTAATAAAATAAGGATAGAAACAGAATCTAAAATAAATAAGACAAATTAGAAATACTATGTACAATATAAAAATAAATAAGAAATAAATATAAGAAATAAATGTCAAAACAAATAAACATACAAATAAATATAAAAATACTAATAAATAATAAATAATATAAATATTTTTATGAATAATTTCTCCTTAATTTTAAACATTCTGTTAAAGTGTCTTTTGGACTCTACAGTTTATAATATCAACATATACTGACGGGCTGTGGATAAATATTTATGTAACATATTGTATGTCTACAAAATAAAGATATATTTATATTATGTCAATATATGAAATTGTTCCAACTTCTAATACGTTTCATGTTTTTATTTTATATGTACTTATATTACATTTGTGTATGGGTAAATTGGATTTTGTTGTTCTGGCCTGATAGAGTTTATGTTTATTTAAATACGACACTTCATTACGTTTTAAAAGGATCATATTAAGTTTACAGAAATAAGAGAATGAGAGTAATTTCTACATGTGACGTCAGTGATTATTATAATAGTCAGTGGTAGTTTAAGAACAGTAGTCTTGGTCTTAGTGAGTCCAGTGTGGTCCTGACTGACTGATTCTGGATCAGTGAACGTGTCTGTTCCTCCCATCACATCCATCAGCTCTCAGCCCCGCCCCGCTCACTCCCAGCCGGACTGGAGGATCAGCAGCCGGGCGGAGGAGCAGCAACCTGCCGCCCAGGACAGGCGATGATGGCGGCGGCTGCGGACAGAGGAGGAGTCCGGGGGGGCCCTTTCCCACCGAGCCCGGTGGTCGCGGCGGTGGACCCCGCGGTGGTTTCTGAGACCGGTGCTGCCGGAGAGCCGGACGACCGCGTCCTGGTGCCGATGAACCTGTTCGCCACCTGGGAGATCGACCGGTCGTCTCCGAGCTGCGTGCCCAGGTAAGAGGATTAGTGCTCGGCCGGAGGGGAGAGTCTGAACACGGTGAGAGGAGTGAGGTGCTGCCCGCTGCCTTCACCGAGCTCGGTGATCCAGACCAGCGGGTCTTTATCACCCGGACTGTCCCAGACCTGGTCCCCTGACTGGAGGTCCACACCGGGACCTGTCCCGGGACTTTATTCTTGTTCCCTCCTGTAGTTATTTTAAACCTGTAGTTACTTCTCTGCAGAACCAACACACACACACACACACACACACACACACACACACACACGCACACGCACACGCACACACACACACACACACCTGACCTGGTCTCAGTTTGGAGGCAGCAACAGGTTTTTACTTCCAGGTGATGAAGAAGCTGCTGCTCTGTCTTCACCTGTTGGTAAAGATTAAGACCTCATTTGAATTTTTATATTTTTATTTGTTTATGTTTGTATTTTTATTTTCATTTCATTGTAAAATACAAATACATCATTTATAATTTCCTAAAATCAAGTCACTTGATTGTATTTATTTTCAAATCCACTCAGACCGTCTTAATTGGCTGTGTGGGTGAGTGCGTGCGCGTGGACTGGAGGTGCAACTTTCCTACAGTGTTTGAAGTAGCCTTGCTAGCTTCGTTTGCTATCTGGCTTTTAGCAAACAAAATGGACGTCTGAAAACAGATTAAGAAGAAACAGGACCGAGGCGACGCCCGGGGACCAGCGCTGACGTTAGAACCACAGGAACAAGCAGATGTGAAAGTCGAGGCCGAAACAACGGAACCGACTTTAGGATTCGCTGTTTGTGACGCACGAAGTTTTGGGGCTGATTGACCCGCCAAACAAGGTGCTGCTAGCTGGACCCGCTGACCTCAGCAGTCCTGCTCATCCTCAGTGTCTCTGTGACACCGCACAGACAGTTGTTTCTTTCATGTTTAGTGCTGTGTTGTACGGAAGAGGATTAGGGCCACATGGGATTTTTTTACTATTATTATTTATTTATTTTTTATTCTGAGTTTAAAGTCAGAACCCAAAAAAAAAGATTCACATGTGGCCCTAATCCTTGGTCGTGGGATGCTTATATTTGTTTGGTTAGTCTGCTGCTCATGTCACTGATAATGTTAATTATGTAACAGCCAGCCTACAGGTTGTGCCTGTGTTGGATCAATAGAACCTGTTCTCAGGTCAGTAGATTGTGTGGGTGTCCACAGAGGTTCCACCTAGGAGACGGTTGTGGTCGTTCTGCATCTTGTTGTGACTGTTTGACGGGAGACGTTCTTTTTGTTTTCACTCCATCTGTGTTTGGATTGGTTCCCTCTGAGCATCGCATTCATAACATCCAGTGGCAGATGTTGGTGGATTTTCTCGGGAAGTGGAAGTGGTGGTTTGTGGAACGACCGGAGGAACTGAGGAAACTCCTGACAAAAGAAAAGAGCCTCGTAACTGAGGTGAAACAAGAGTGAACCGCACACAGGTTTTCACCAGACGGAGAGAGACACATCGGGACAGAGGCTCAAGGTGGCCGTCGCCTCTGTGACGTCACCCACAGGTCTCTGAAACTCAGAGTGAGCTGCTCCACTGTCGCCATCTTGGCAGTGTCTGACTCTGCCCCTAACTCCCAGCTGATCCAAACATGGTCGAAGAGGAGGGGCGTGTGTGGAGCTGAGACTTCGGTGAATGTCAGTTTGTTGCACCCACCTGTCACTCAAAGAGGCCACGCCCTCAATCCTCCATAACTTTAGTCCTTAATAAAATGTAAACAGGTGAGTTATATAAACAGGTGAGTTATATAAACAGGTGTCATGAAGGAGGAAATTAGCTCTAGAGACCAAACCAGTTTTTGTACCAGGCTGTAAACATGTTTATTTCTGCTGTAAAGTTGGACATTTTAACATGGGAGTCTATGGGGACTGACTCACTGTTGGAGCCAGACTCTAGTGGTCGTTAGAGGAACTGCAGCTGCTGGTTTCAGTCTGGCGGTTGACTCTTGGTCTGGACTGACTTCACGGGTTCTTTACTGATGTGGTGGACACAGGGTTTTGTACCCGTCCACACAGAATGTTCTGGGACTTGAAAGGATTCAGAACCAACACTCAGCTTTTTTATTAACAGAAGCAGGTGTTCTCCTTTGGGTTCATAGGGTTCTGCGGTTGTCTCTGGCTTTGGACAGTCGCCATGTTGCTAATGCTACAGCTAGCAGCTGGAAACAAACGATTGATAATGTGAACAGAGGATATGTTCCTGGTGGTGACCTTCGATCAGAGGCTCTGGACCAGGGCCCCTGGGCCCCTCAGATCCCTGGGCCTGTGTGGTTCTGTGGTGTAGTGATCAGGTTCTGTGACGTGCCGCTGCTCCTTCCATAACGAGTCACCTGAAACAGGCAGAACTGTTCTGTCAGGTGACCGTGGGATCATGTGACGAGGATGAGCAGCTTTTAGGTGAACAGAAGTGAACCGGAGTCAGGAGCCAATCAGACAATAGAGGAACTTCGTCTCCCAGAATGCTTAGAGAGAGCAGGGAAGCTGACCTAGTTCAACTGACCCTGGATCAGAAGCTGCGTCATCGAATTGAGATCAGAGACAGATCCCACACAGAGACGACTGCGAATCGTGACATCAGCAGTGACATCACAGCACAGCAGCCAATGGAAACGATGAAACAATAAGAAACATATTGAAGGTGATGACGGAGCGGAGGGTCAGGGCTCCCTCCCTCTGATCCCTCCACCTGTCTCTCGCAGATCAGCAGCAGGGTGTAAATGTGTCGGTTAACGAACTCGACCAATCAGAGATAATCCTCTTAAATGGTCGTGTCCACTCAGGAAGCTGCGACCTGTCGCTCCTCACAGATCAGAGAGGGACGGACTGAAGGAGACGCAGGACGACTGTGATGTCATGAACAGAGACGTTGAGTCATCAGCTGACTCCACTCTGTCCTCTGCAGTGATCAACACCTCTTCATTGATATACAACTAGAGTCTCCTCCTCCAATCAGACTGGTTCCAGGTCACTTCCTGTTTATCCAGAGTCGGAGAAACTATAAAATATGAGCCGTTGGTGTGAATCGTGTCGACGAGAATGAGACGGACGAGCTGAAAACAACAT